TAGAAGTGGCGTGCCACGATTGGGCCACGTGTGATCATTACGTGGCTGTAAGCTTTGTGGCTGGGGACGAGCCGGAGCAGCGGCAGACGGAAGACAGCGGGCCGAAGCGTCGGACGCAGGCGATCCAGGTTCCGGCCAGGGAACGCGGCTGTCCACGCTGCTGCCGTCCAACCACCAGCTGGGGCGGCATTGCCGGCACGAGTACTGCATCTCGGGGCGCCGCCTGGCCTGCTGTTCTCTTCCTTGCCGAGGGCATCACGGATCTCGGCGAGGCGTCTCCACGGTCAGATGTTCGGCACAGCGACGTACGTGGCCTGGCTAATGGTCATGGTTGCGCCGAGCATCGCGTCTCGGCGCACGCTCTTCGCTGGACGGGCTGGCCATTCCCCGCATGGAGCATCGCGTCTCCGATGCGGGTTGACTGCTCCGTAGTCGCACCTACGCCGTCAAACGCCGTCGTCCCCAGAGCGTCGCACATCGGCAAGTGAGCGCATTCTACAGCGCCTTTCCACCGCCTCCTGCCTTGCACCTCATCGGCGTCTGTCGGACCGTCGATCTGGCTCTTAGGTTTTCGAACGTTCCTACTTGAACGCTAATTGGTCATTTTTTAAATCAAGCTTAACTCTCTGTGTTGGTTGTACGTACCTTTTGTGCCTCATTGTTTTCCATGTTCTATGTTAATTTTCTGTGTTTTGTCATAAACGTGGCATGTATTGTTACCACGTCATCTCAAAGTCCGTTTCTCCTCGCACGACACGCAAAACAAGCGTTGACGAACCTTGGCCCCGATAAAGAATATTTTCAATACAATATTATGGCGAGCCTTGGCCCTGATAAATGATGTTTTCATTACAATAAATGGCGAGCCTTGGCACCTTCTACCTACTCTCTCTGTTCCCTAGAGCAGAGCTCTCCCAGCTGTGCAGCTGCTGTTGCCATAGAAGGGAGTGGAAGATGAAAATCTCCATCCTTAACAAGCAGCAACAAAAAGACAAGACGGACACCATGCAACCAACCTTCCACTCCCTTCTATGGCAACAGCCGCTGCGCAGCTGGGAGAGCTCTGCTCAAGGGAACAGAGAGAGTAGGTAGAATGTTGAGTTTTACTAATACCTTTGCACAGCAGGCGTGCAGCACCGCTTTGCAACCGTGTTCCATCCTAAAGCAAACGGCTTTACCGAGGGAACCAACCATATTATCTAGGCACGACTTGCTCCATATACGAAGATGGTGAAAAGAGGAGAGGCCGACTAAGCATCCACCTTCAGTCAGCCGCTTCTGCGATTAACACGGCCCTGCAGACGTCTACCGGGGAAACACTCGGCGAAATTGTTTATAGAAAACTACCACAGCTGAAAGCGGTCCACAGTCTGGATGCTCCCGTTATAATCCTATGTTCCGACCATCGCAAATCGGCCTGTCACAATATCCGAATTAAGGCGATCGAGAAAGCCATTCACGCACAAGAAAAACAAAAACGCCACTATGACAGTCACTGTAGATTTTCTCATGCTGACATCGGCGACGAGGTGTTGGTGCAAAGGGGCGCTAGCGGGCCCGGCAAGAAGTTACTCCTAAAGTTCTACGGGCCATTCATAATTACTGAGCGTGCATGAGAAAATATCTGGCGTGAAAGCACCTCAGATGCGAACTTGACTCTCGATAAACGTATAAGAAACAACTTTGCCGTGCATGTGTCGCGCTTGAAGAAAGCATTCGGACAAGTGAAATGAACTGTCGTTTCTTTGTCAGGTCCGCAGTGTGGCCGAATGTAATGGAGAGCGGCGCGGCAGCTGTGGGGCTGGACAGGCAGAATAGCACAGCTTGCTCGACGAACGAGTGTTGCCTGGCTCACTGCAATACATCACTCGCTTCTTCAGGAAGCACTGCAGACGTGCGCTTGCACTGCGTTAATTGTCTGTCTATTCCATCGAAAGACGAATAAATCGGTGAGTTTAAGATAACCATCGAGTGTGCATTATTTCCACATCAACTCCTATCTGCTTGGACGCCAACGTTGTGTTCCTCATGTGTGTCACCTCGTTAATTTCACGTCACTTTTCTACATTTGGCGCGACTCAATGCAGACACAAATTTTCGTCCATGCAAAAGCGCTCTCGCGGCTTGCGCTGTGCAGACGAAACTCAAGCCGCCCATCGGGCGCTGGAGGCAGCCATCTAAATAAGCTTCGCAGAGGGTCGATACACGACTGACCCCCGTATTCTAGAACGTCCCTTCACTCAACACTTCATCTTCACTTGAAAAAGCCGATGGTAGCGCCGTCTCTAGGCAAGGCAAGTCACTGCATATCAGCAATAATCTGCTGCAATTCTTGAGTAGCGCAGCGTCATTTTCAGCTGAGCGGTGGCGCTGTGCTCAACTCTGTCAAGTGAAAGGTGGAAGTCGAGTCGAGGAGCGTTTGTGAATACGGGGGTGAGTGAAGGCGCGCGCATCGACACCTCTGTGCCAAGTGGAGGGCGCATGCGCACTCATGCCCATGCTCCGTTTTGCTGCTGAGGACGCCAAGCTAGAATATTCTGCTGCTCAACAACGTGAAATGTGGGGTAGTGCACACATACATATAACACGAGCCAGAATCGGATAGCTTTATTCTCTGTTTAACATAAGTAAAAGTAAAAAAAAGTAGCATTAGCGAGGAAAACAACCTTAGATGGCAGCTTTTTGTGGGAAGCGAGAAGAAAATGAAAAGTATGAAATTACACAGGAATGAACAATATCTGTAGAGAAATGTAATGCTGTACGTTAAATAATTTCATGAGTTAGCTATGTAGGGCTCTGCCTTTACTGCATTAAAGGAGTCCTGAAACATTTTGTTTCCAAATTAACCCCGGATTTGACTCACTGAAAGAGCTTATCGCCTCACGAGTTCACCACCGCAAAAATTATTTGAATCCGTCCAGTATGATCAGAGTTACGAAATTTTGTCGCGCGCTGCAATTGAATTCTCTCTTGTCTCGTTCCGATGAAAGCACCGGAAGCTAAGCAGCGAGGGATAGCACAGAGAAAAAAAATATGCCACGCGCGCCTCTTGACCTTGAGCACTTTTGCTCTTTCTTTTTTCGACTCTATCATATGTCGAGCGAAGAAAAGAAATTTTTAGCTGGCTGGGAGCTTATTGTGATTTCCAGGCCGCGTTCCGCGCTGTAATATTTAAAAATGTTGCAGGGCCCCTTTAACGACAGGTAATGACTGCGATAGTGATGACTAGTTCGGATGACCTGGCTGTTTATGGGGACACATTAGTCGCAAATGATGCTTTTTGTGTTTATAGTAAACGAAAGAATCAGTGCAGCCATATATATATATATATATATATGGCAGAAGAATAACTTCAGTTGCCGCAAGGTTATAAATATGAAAGTAGATGCGCTTTCACATAACAACTGTTTATTCTGCCGAAGTTTCAACGGGAGCCCCGTCTTAAAAATTATGCCTTGAAAAAGACGGGAATCCCGTCGAAACGTCGGCAGAATAAACTGTTGGTATGTGAAAGCGCATCTACTTTCACATATATCTCTCCCTGTGAACTCGGTGCCGTGCACTGTTCACAGGCTCGACGCGACGCGCTGAGGCAACGCTTACGTCTGGTTAAGCCTCACTGAGTAAACTCGTGTCTTCGTCCACCCCTCATAGAAATTTATGTCACGTGTGAACCACGAGCCTGCGCTTGGTGGGCTTCTAAACTACTCTGGTGACTAAAATGAATTCTCATACAAACAGTCTTTCCCTCTATATGGCTGAAGTTGCGGCGTACACAGACGCCGTTATATTTTATCGAGCCTAATCTGCGAAAATATGCTTGTGCAGCACAGCTCATATCAGGACACGCGGCAGCTGCTGCACGGGGAGTTACTGTATGTATATCAACTTCAGTGAAGCTGCTCAAATATTCATCGATGTACGAGCTATTGCCGGACGAACTGACTAACTATTACGTACTTACAAGGTGTAATGCCTATCACTCTCAAGAATCTCGATATACAAAGATTTTTTAAATACTGAAGTGCATTACAACAAACAACCCTCAAATTAGAGGAACCTACTGCTCTCTCACACTTCGTTTTAGCCATTCCACGGCATGCCCCAATCATGCCGTGCTTCTGCGTCGCACTATTTCAACATTGAAAATTGGTATGCGACGAAAGCGACAGTGGGCACTGAAAAGTAGTTCGAAGTGGAGAGAAAGCTGCAAGCGGCTGAATCTAAGGCTTCGGTAACTATCCTGAGTGATGCCTCCTTTTGTTGTGAAGATAGTCTGTAGTCCGGCTCTGCCAGAAACATGAACGGGGACAAACTGAGCAACAATAGTTTTGCGCTGTATGTAGATATTCAAACACAACCAGCAAGTTCCGTTACCGTCTAGCTATTGAGCGCTAGGTCTACCGACCTACCGAGGTAAACAAAAAAGCGCACGCACTTCGCGCAAGGAATCTACGCACAAGCGCTGACATGAACCACGCTGGATAGAGCCGCCAAATGATTTCTTAGCGAGTACTCGAAACACCGTTAAACATCGATGAAACAAGTCAGTCAAATTGGCAATTCACCTCGTTATATCGCAAGTTCGGTGAACTGAAGTTCAATCTTTTCGCTAAGTACGGTGACCAAAAGTATTATTATTATTATTATTATTATTATTATTATTATTATTATTATTATTATTATTATTGCACGTCAATGCTTCGAAGATTGTTTCAGTAACATGGCAATACAAAGAACTATTTATATAAGGCAAAAATGAAATAATAAAAAACGGTGTAAAAGTTTTTAGCGCAGTGGCCGCTCATCACAATGCCTGAAAGAAACGCCGGCGGTCCAACGACGCACTGCGGTAGTACAGAATAAGCGTTCGTAAAAAACTCAGCAATACACGACCGCCATGACCCCAACATAACTTTTAATTTATTGCCTCGGTGTCCCCCTGGATCCCGTCTGGAACTTGGCTATATCGAAGTCGCGGCGAAACACGCTTGGTTATATCGAGGTTCAAAATACATCTATATTGAGATCAAGTTGTGAAGAGTGAAATACCTTCTTATATCGAAAATACTGAAGCTTGTTACATCGAGGTTTAACTGTACCGTCTCGGAGCTATGTGACATCACCACGCATGTAAATTCACACGCAGCGAGCCTCATAATTGCGTGAATAGGTGCGTCTGGTAGAGGTCAGGTGGCAGCGAGGCCCCTGGAAATGCAGGCCCCCGGTGGCAGTGCTGCACGTGCAGCTCTCGTGCAAGACGTCTCAGTTCTTCGCGCACGCCCTCGATGACCTGCACAAAAAGACAGTTTTGTTTCCCCTATCTCGAAACACCCCCATGAAGAAACAACGGGCATCATGGATGGCATCGCACATACCCACGGAAATGAAAATATGAATACAAGCTGCTCGTATCTAGCAGCCTCGCGCATCAACGAAAATGCACTCAAAGTATGTTTAACCCCACATCGTTCGCTGCAGCGTGGGACAAAAAGTTGATCACAGGCTCTTAATTACCAACCATGTCTCAGCTTCGGTTCGGGAGAGCTTAAATAACCAAAAGCGTATGCAAAGCTCGATCATGTCACACACGGAACTGTGACGTTCTTTCTGTCCGCGTCAAGACGTTCTTTCGAACAGGAAACGATAAAGCAGTGTCGCGAAGCACACAACTTATAACGCACGCGCCACGGACTTGCGAACAGCCGCACAGAAGTATACAGTGATCTGAAGAAGCAAACGCAGCAATGGAGCCATGGCGGCTATGACTCCATCATAACTTGTTTCGGTTGCAGCGTAGTGACGTGAGGGAAGTTCGAGGTATCATGGTCAAGCAGCTTGAGAGGGTGTGAATGCCGCAAGATGCGCCGCATAATGCTCCATCACGCACGCGAAGCCAAAGACGTGTTTACGTCGCGTTTGTTCCATCCACCACCAATATCCACAACAACGTTGCGCTCTCGAAAGACCAGCATACACTAAGCTTCATGACGAATATACAAGTATAAACGCAAATATGGGAAACGCACGCACGAGCAAAACATAGCACACCGCCTTGCCCGTCCACGTGCTCGTCGCGACCACAAACCATACGACGATGAGTCGTGCGAGCGCGAACCTAGTTGCGCTGAAAAAACGTCGGGGAGTGGCAGCACGGGCGTCAGCACAATGATTTTTGTGTGTTTTCTTACTAAACTCACAAAAACAATTACTTATACTACAAGTGATGTTTATTCAAGGTCAAATTGTAGTTAAAATTTTTATATGGTACTAGTATGAATTAAGGATATAATCAATAATCAGTTTGAAAGGACTACATAGCTTGCTATGCGAGCGCCACTATTGCCGTGCGCAAGAAGGTTTGTAATTTTGCCCTCACACTTTATGAAAAGTGTACTCCTAAGTTGTGTGGCTGCCGAGAGGCGCTGATGATGATGTTGATGAATCTACATCTATGGCTCATACCAACTCGACGGAATCGACCAAAAATTGAGTACCTAATTTAGTGAGACTCTTTTTTCTGGGCTTGCTTGTTTTTTTTTCTTGCTCTATTTTTGAAAGCTTTTTGCACATGTTTCGGCGACAGGGAAGGGGGGGGGGGGTGTCGAAAAAAAGAAGTTGGGCATGCGCTTTTGGACAGTTTTTCCTTTGGTTTCTCCTATTCGCATTTCCCTTCAATATCGCTAAGAGGTGATACCACAAAATGACTGTGTTAAATACTTAGGAGTGTTTTATGTTAAGAGACTGATTTAGCGATACCACATTGAACATGTTAAATCTAAGGCAACTCGTGCTATTGGAACAACTCGTAAACTTGGTCGACCCCCACTGGCCTACGGAAGGACAGTGTAATAGTGATTTACCGTATGTATGTTCGCCCAATTCTAGAATTTGGTTGCCTTTTATATTTTGGGGGGCCAGCATAGAAGATTAATTCCCTCGTTATCTTAGAACTACAGGCCCTACGAAGCTGTCTGGGGGTTCTTAAATTCACTGCGAACAGCGTGTTATATAAACAAGTCCGAATCCCAACTCTAGCTTGTAGATTCCGCATGCTTACCAATAAGGCATAGTAAATATTTACGCTTCTTCACTTAGACGTTCACAGTTTGTATTCATTTCCGAACTGAAAACATCTTTTAATGAGCCATGGTCTAGAGTGCATAGACCTCAAATTTTGTTTGTTAAAGAACAGCCAGAACCATTATACGTTGGCATACGCAGCATTATTTCAAACGACTAATTGGCAAAAACCAAAATTGAATCTGCTGATATATTCCCTTCTCATGCAAAACTTCTACCTAGCAGATATCTAAAAGGCTTATTACAGAACTATTTACTTCAGTTGGGAATTTGTTAATGTTATTGCTATGGGTGCATCTATGTGTGTAGAGAAAAGGGGGTAGCCATTTTCTCAGAGATATTGTCTTGGTCATTCTCAGTACGTCTCCACGATTACACCTCTATATTTGGAGCAGAGCTTTTAGTAACTATTTTGGCCCTTAATAAACTTTCAATCAATGATTCGGCAGTTGTTATTGTTACTGATTTACTTTCGTATGTAGATCCATAGCCTCAGCTTCTTCTTTCAATTATTTGCATTGGAATGTTTTCGCTTCTTCAATTCCGAAACGCTTGAGTACCGTGCGGTTGGTGTGGGTGCCGGGTCACCGAGGCATATATATAAATGCAGTGGCTGACACTCTCGTACGGTGGTCCCTATATGGTCCTGTAATGTCCATTGTACCTAATACTGGTTTCGTCCCCGAATCCCGATTTCATAAATATGCAAGTGATTTCCAGGATTTCTTGAAAGTTAGATTGCCAGTTAAAAAATACCGTCATCTTCCTTTTGTTTGGAATAATAAATGGTGCCCCTCTCGCAAATTAGAAGTGTGCATCACAAAATTTTGATGCCGAATTCCGCCTCTTAATTTCTACTTATACAGGTCTGCTCAGGTGCCATCGCCCCTTTGCTCTTACTGCCAAGAGCCAGAAAACATTGATCACTTTTTTTCTTATTTGACGACGTTTCACAAGCCACAGGAAGAAACATTAGAAACTATATTCAGAAAATAAACATCACATTTAATTTGAAAGAATATCTCTTTCCTTGTGGCTTCTTCCCTGGGCCACAGCAACAGGAGCGTCTGCGTAGCAGTTTGTAAATTTCTCAGAGACAGAAGAAGGTTAGCTTGTTAAAATTCATTTTTCTCCTTTTTAAGTAATGAAGTTTATTGTTTCAAATTACCATTCATTTATTTATTTCAATTATTAGTTACTTACCTGCTTTATTCGTAAGTCACCTCACGATGATTCACTCTTATATTCCCTAGATGACTGAATAACAATTTATTCTTATTCAAACTCTACAAATTCGTTTTCCCCATTACAATAACCACCGATTTAATGGACAATCCCCGTAGGGGGTACGAGCCAAACATAGGCACAAGCAAGCAAGCCATTGTTCCTGGAGTGGCTGTTTTCTCGCCATTCGTCGCTGATCTTCGGTCCAGTACTGTGCAAGGGGATTGACCACACTTATAACTCTTGTTTTTTTCTGTTGTAGTTTTTCTTTTTCCTGATTTTCAAGAGCCATCAATACCGGTCTCCGTTCCCGGCCAGGGCTCGCCCTGGTCGCCCAGTCGCCCTGCTGAGTCGGTACCACTGAAGTGTTTCCTCTGGAATGGCGAAACCAGTTTGCCTGTCACGCTTGTGCTCACTGATGATGGAGCCATTCGGTTAAGTGTAACGAAAGTCTTTCAAGAAGAGCTTAGCAACATAACTGTGCATTTTCTGGACATTTCGAAAATGAGGCGCTTCGGCAAGACTGGCATACTATGCAGGTCTTCAAATATTCAATGCTTAACAGACTTACTGGCCTCCACGAGATTTGCGTTCATTGCTGTTCGCGTTTTTATCCCCCCTCCCCATCTTACTTGCGTGAAGGGCATTGTTCGCGGTATTCCTACAAACATTAGTCCAGAAGTAATCTTAAACATGGTCTCTCCGGCTGGCGTGGTATCTGTCTACAAATGCACCAGACCTGTAGGTGATACGCGGGTCCTTACTGAAAGCGTCATCGTAACTTTTGCCAGTCTAACACGCCCCTCTGAGCTGAAGGCCTGGCCTTACTTATTCCGTGTAGAGCAATTGACACCTCGCCCACTGCAGTACCGTAACTTCTGGCAATTTCGACATAGCGCTATAGTGCTTGTAGGTCCTAACTGAGATGTCCGAAATGCAGTGGGTTGCATGCCGCAGCGGAATGTCAGGTAGAAAACTGCAATGTGTTACCTATGTGATGGAGCACACACAGCCACGGACAATAGCTCTCCTGCTCGTGACCGTGAAACACAGATCCTAAATATTGTGGACAAATGCCGTTGTTCTAGGGCTGAGGCTACATCCTTCTTTAAAGAGCGAGAAGTCGGGGATGTGGCTGCTACGTCACGCCAGTGTGGGTCCCTCGAAGCGACGATCGCTTCAGCAGTGTTGACAGCGATCAATATAGCTATTCCAATGATCATGGAACGGCTTTTCAACACCTTTGCTGAGGGTTTGACCAAGATGCTAGCTGCCAAGTTAAACAGCCTTGTTCCCTCCTCCCCTGCACAATCTGTCATGCTTCAGGGTGAAGCGAGGGACCTCGGCAATGGGCAAAACAATTGATGTGAAGATGTTCCCCCAGAAAAGTTCGTCAGCTCTCAGTAACCGATCCCTTCGGGGCCCAGTGGGTCATTTGGTGACAGGAGGCTCGAAACTATCATTCATAAGCAACGCAGTGCTCCATTGTCTCCAACCCATTCGCTAACGTCGAATAAAAAAAAAACTACGAACAGGACGCTTCCAGTGGAATTGTCTTTCTGTATCTTTCGGTCACACAGATCTTCTTTATCTCATACAACAAACAAATCATATTATTATTTTACTTCAAGAGTCCTGGCTCTCAGTAAGCCAAAAGTTTACTCTTAATATTTTCGAACTTTTAGGCTGGATCGGCGAGGTAGAAGAGGTGGATTATTGGCCATAATCTCATAAAATTGTATTATATTGCTGTCACTTTTGAACGTATTTGTCCGGATTTTGAACTGTAACCAATAGATTGCTTGTTACCCGACTCCTACAAGTTTACAGTAATTCTTGCGTACTTTCCTAATAGAGTAAAAAGCACAGATCACCTAGACTGTGTCACCAAAAATTCTTCTTCAAACTCAATTTTATTGGCAGAGATTTTACGTTGCATCACACTCCTCGGGTGTTAAGAACGGATCGCTGTGGCAAACGATTGAG